AAAATTACGAAATTTCCGAGGAATGATATTCCTCGGAATATTCTGAGGGAAAACATTCCTCGGAATCTCCGTCGGAATATTCTCAGGAATACCATCCCTCGAATTATTCCGAGGAATACCTTTCCTCGGAATTTACCGAGAGATTGAAGTCCTCGGAATATTCCGACGGATGGCTTCCTGGGAATATTCCGAGTAGTTTCTTCCCTCGGAAATTTTCGTTGAAATTCCGACAAACGGTTCCATCGGAAAACTTCCTCGGAATGTCCTCGGAATATTGTCCGTCGGAATGTCCTCGGAATATTCCCAGGAAATTCCGACGAAAACTGCGATTCCGAGGAGAATTTTCCGAGAGACATTTTTTTCGGAATATCGTCGGAATCGCCTGATTCCGACGACATTCCGAGGAAATCGTCCCTAGGAATCGATGTGTTTTCTTGTAGTGATACGCCCCCATCTCAGTACTGTTTTACGTCCGCCCCTGGTTAGAACAGTCGTAGGCTCAGAACATTCCCTTTCTACTAGACATTGATAAAGTATTCTTTTCTGTAGATGAGGAGGCAGTTAGGGAAAGTCGTTTGTTATGAACTGTAACTGGAGGGGGAGACTCAGATTTGACTGAAGAGACCCACATATGCGGTCGCTAACTTGGTTTTGGCTTTCACAATTCCTAGCACTAGATTTCAGGTACAAGACCATGGACGATAAATCTGCGCTTTGGAATTGGCTAATACAAATGGATAAGACTTTTGCTTGAATGGCTTTCCAATAATTTATCTACTAGGTAGTAACCCGCGCTATGCGCATAATAAAATAGTCTATAGATTATATATTGTACATTGTATTTATAGATCTATCATATAACTTTTTAGGTATGAATATTCATATCGGATTTAGTAAGTTTATTCAAATTTCAGATTTTAGAATTAGAAATTTAAATCTTATTCGAATATTTACAAATTTTAGTTTACATTTGGTTAGAATCATTTCGGGTTCTATTTAGATTCGAGTCCGGATGTTCATTTTAATTACATATTTTCAACAAAAATCCAAATATACTTAAGTTCTTAAAATCCAAAAATAAAATAGTATAAAGCATAAAAATTGAATATTTACACAAAATTACAAATATATTTCATAAGTAATTCATTTATTTAGTAACAAAAATATTAAATTCTTATAATTCCGTCGTAAAAATTGTTGCTTAATTTTTTCAATTTCTCTTGATCAAATGTACAATATTGAAAATAAATATGTTAAACTTAAAATCATAATATTCCAAATTTTTAAAAAGATATAATCATAGAAGCTATAGTATACTTTTTTGGATGAATAGTCTAGAAAACCTTACTTTGCGATCAATAACGTGTATTTTGTTATAATTTATTTTTTGGAAACTATAATAAAAATCATACAATCGAGCGAAAGGAGCTAGAGTTACGTGTTAAATAATGTGATTTCTTCACTCGGTACCTGAATTATGTTTTCAATCGATATTACGAATTTTATTTTCTTTTTAAACTTTTCTTATTTTTGATTTTTCGAGTAATGTAATTATATTTCTAATTCTTGGTATGATATGAAAACTTCGTAAAGAAAATCAATAATTGGATAAACTAAAGATCCGACTTCGTGTGTAGTGTTTTTTTATTTTAGTTTTCTTAATTCATAATCAATCACAATTATTTGTTGTTTTTGTGAACAAAAACCTCAACCATAGCCAAGTTCTGCAAGATATGAAAGTTCATTTACAAGAACATTCTTATTCCAACACTTTAGTTGATGTGAATCTTAATGATTTTTTTTATTTCCTTTAAAATGATATTATTCAGTAGTTGTACAAAGAGGATTTTAATTTATTTCAGTTCACTATTACAAATGTTAAAAATGTATGAACTAAAAATGAGCTGGTTGAAACAAAAAATAGAATGCAGACACATTAAATTGCAGTGTAGTTAAAAGAATTAGGATGTAGAAGCAATAATTGTTAAACGATTGTGAGGACGACACATTAGCATATACAAAAAATATAGTGTGAGAGCATTATTAAGAATGCTTGTCCTTTAATATATAGATGATTGGATATGGAGAGAAAAATTGACCCAAAAAAAAAAAGGATATGGAGAGAAAAAAAATTTAAAAAGTTCGATCTTACTATTGTTATAACTTTTGTTTATATTTATGATACTGTTGGAGTTTTTAATTTTTTGTTTATAAATAAATTCACGTTTCCATAATATCACATTATTAATATATAATTTTATGTGTTTCAAAAAAAGTGTTTAAAAATCACATTATTTAATATATAATTTTAAGTTTATTATTATTCTAACTACTTTATTTTCTATAATTATACTTAAATATTTACAAATAATAAAAATTAGACAAATATTTAAATTCTAAAAATTCAAAACTATAAATTTGGATCTAGATAAATTAAGAAACAAATCCTGTGAAATCGGAATAATTAAGAAATAAATCTGATGAATCGGGAATTACTATGAAATAAATCCTTATACCTTGGACTGAAATATCTTATTTAACATAGAAAAAAAGGTATATGATGCAACACTATCTTGATGTCATGGCAACGTGCAAATATTATGGTTATCCGGATGTTTTCATTACAATTACTTGTAATCCTAAGTGGCTAGAAGTTACAAGGTATCTTCAGAAACACAACTTAAAATCAGAAGGTAGGCCAGACATATGTTGCAGAGTTTTCAAAATGAAACTTGAAAGTATAATACAACATCTAACTAAAAACGGAGAGAAAGCCACTTTTGGTAAAGTTAATGCTGGTAAAATCGTATTTACTTTGTTCATTTTTTAATCGTTTAGATATTTTCACGATGTGTCGTAGACAATTTCCCATTGCGGTTTCTTTTGCAATGACTATAAATAAAAGTCAAGGTCAAACACTACAGAGAATTGGATTGTATCTTCCATGACCATTTTTTACTCATGGACAGTTGTATGTTGCGGTCTCAAGAGTAAAATCAAGATCAAGCTTGAAAATTCTAATCATAGATAAAGACGGTAAGCCTCTAAGAAAAACAATGAATGTCGTGTACAAGGAGATCTTTCAAAACATTGCCTAAGTCTCAGCTTTTGTTGTCCCGGAGTATGATCACTTTAATTGTTTAATACATTGCAAGATTTTGTAATACGAGAACTTTGTGATCCAACGATATAATCAAATAAAACAACTCTTTCGCTACATCAAAGCTTTATAGCGTAGAAGTCACTACATCTTTAGCATGTTCATCTTCATCAAATAAACAACTTCATAACTCCTGTCTTCTGAAAGAAAATTAAACCATCTTCACCACCCTCCAATCATAAGAACATTACTCTTTTTAAAAGCTTCCACTTAATACATTTTATTATATTTCCACACAAAATTTATATGTTACAACTACACCTTAAATTCAAAATATACAACTATAAAAATTAAAAAATACAATTAAACCCGCGCATGCGCGCGGACGGATCACCTAGTATATATAGTAAACATTCATAAGATGATGTCTTGCTAAAAATATTAACACAAAAATCCAATAGAAAAATAATACTATAGAACACTTACATTGTCATCCTTCAACATGTTTAATGATGATTGTTAGAGTAGAATAATATCTAACTATTTGTAATACTACAAAAACAAGAAACAAAATATAAAAAAATCAAAGATAATATATATCTTATTGATCTTTTTAGTAGGAGTACAATGTTTTGAAATATAAATCCTTGTTTTAACTGCATGTTTGTAATAAAATTTGTGAATCTTTAATATGCTCTCTTCTTTAGGTTTTACCTTTTAATCTCTTTGTGCGTAGTCACTGACGATATTTAGGGCCGGCCCTGGGCAATGCCTAATGAAACATTTGTTTCAGGCCCCCAAAAAATTTAAAGAAAATTACATGAGTAAAGACCCCCAAAAAAATTTTTAGGCCCCCAAAATTTTTTTTTTACATAGAAATCGTCATAGGCCCCCAAAATCTCAGGGTCGGCCCTACGTCCGCCCCTGGTTAGAACAGTCGTATACAGAACACTCTCTTTCTCTAGTACTAGATATTGATAAAATATTGTAACTGGAGGGGGAGACTCAGAATTTGACTGAAGAGATCCACATATGCGGTCGATCACTTGGTTTTGGCATTCCCGTACGTTTACAATATTTTGACAATTCTTGCCTCTAGAAGGCAATTGGAATTGGCTAATACAAATGGATAACACTTTTGCTGGAATGGCTTTCCAATCATTTATCTATTGGATATGGAGAGAAAACCAAAGTTAAAAAGTTCGACCTTATTATTGTTATAATTTTTGTTTATATTTATGATATTTTTGAATTTTAGATTTGTTTCTTTATAAATAAATTTACGTTTCAATAATATCACATTATCTCGCAATCTTATCTAAGATAATCTAAATTTTCATTTTGTGCTCGTAAAATATGAGATATTTTGAAGTATATAGGAAACATATCAGCAACGTCTTGATCACCTCCATATTAATTTTAAGTTTATTATTATTCTAAATACTTCATTTTCTATATTTATACTTAAATATTTATAAATAATAAAAATTAGACAAATATTTAAATTCTAAAAATTCAAAAGTATAAATTTGGATCTAGATAAATTAAGAAATAAATCCGGTGAAATCGGGATAATTAAGAAATAAATCTGATGAATCGGGAATTACTATGAAATAAATCCTTATACCTTGAACTGAAATATCTTATTTAACACAGAAAAAAGGATTCAGGATTGATCGAAATCCGAACGACCATGGAAGAACCAACAAAGGAAGAAAGCACAGCCCCTGCCGGTGCACGAAACCCTAGCCACCTCTTTGGCGGTGTAGACTCAATCAGCTCTCTACCAGACGAGATACTCCACCATATCCTGTCCTTTGTTCCGACCAATGTAGCCATCACAACTAGCGTCTTGTCCAAACGTTGGAGGCATGTATGGTGCAAGACACCTTATCTCTCTTTTACTAATATTAATGCCTCTATTGAATCGATTCACGAAACCCTAGCCAGCTACACTGCCCCAAAAATCATGGGACTCCATCTCTACGTTGATAGCGAATCATTCGAAGAAGCCAGCGAAAGGAGTAACCATGTTGATAGCTTGGTCAAGTTTGCAATATCTCACAACGTGGAGAAGCTTTCTTTGGTATTGAAAGATTATTACGTTTTCTCAGATTTCTTCTTCAGCAATCCATCTCTAAAGCAACTCATCGTAGATTCACGTAACAAAATGAGTCCCAAATGCACCGTTTCTTGGACATCACTTCAGACCTTGTCTTTGAGGAACTGTTTACTCGATGAATCGTTTGCTAAGGTTCTGTCTGGTTCTCCAGTGCTGGAAACCTTGACATTGCGTTCTTGTTCAATTTCTTGTCTCGATCTAAGTGAATCGCGGCGCATTAGACGACTAGATATAGAATTCACCAATTCTTCTCCAAAAAAATGTCATATTGTTGCTCCTCATATCCATTACCTAAGATTGATAGATTTTAGGCAAAAATGTACTTTAGGTGATGTCTCCTCTTTAACAGAAGCGGACATTGACAGTATCTATTTCGTGCCTCGATTTTGGTGTATTCAAGTTGATCTTGAGGATCCCTCGAAGGATCTTGATTACCAAGTGATGATGCAAACGATGCTAGAAAAGTTGCAGAACGTAGAGAACCTTACTGTTGGGCTTAGCTTTCTTCAGGTATGTTGACATTCTTGAAATCTCTACTTTATAGAATCACTGAAACTGCAATGTTAAGAATCACTTGAACTCTCTATGTTTTATACTCCTTTTATCATGAATATATTCTGGAAACATGAACATATGCTAAGTAGTTTATTGCTAACTTTTTACTTATGTTTGTCTTTTGTTGAGAAGTATTCACTTTCTCTTTGTCACTCTTTATTGCTAGATGCTATCTATTGCCGAGTTCCGTGGTGTTCCTTTCCCAACGTTAAAGGTCAAAACGTTGACTCTTAAAACAACAATTATACGATCTGCGGTTCCTGGTATAGCAAAGCTGCTACAACACTCACCTGAATTAAAGAAGATATTTTTCTACAAAACTGAAGACTGGAACTGCGCAGTGGTATGCTTTATTATTACAAACCACTAAAAAAAAGCATGTCCGTAACTTTATTTGGCTAATCTATAAAAAAAGGGATATATGTAAGAATGTGTTTTTAGTCTGCATGCTGATACCTTTCACTGTTCTGCAGGAGAAATATGTTAATCGCTGCTTGGACCCACAAGATCCACAAGACCTGATCTTTCCGGCTAAGTCAGCGTTTAAAGTTGCAAAGCCGGATCTCGTAGCTTCCTTCATTGAACTGTTGCTGCTAAACACAAGAACACTAGAGACACTGGTTCTCCAGTTGAGGAGTTGCCTTAATACATCGAATTATGATGAGCTGTCTCAAATCGCTCTTACACTCTCTCGCAAAAATAAGGTCTCCATTGTGCTGAAATAATCAAGTGGTGTTAAATTATGTATCATTGATTTCTAGTGTTGGAACCATTTGAACAATTATGATTTCAAAATAAAATTTATTTAACTTTTTTTTATTTTAGTCTATCTTTTATTGGTTGAAATATGATTAGATTTATAGGTAATGGTGTTTTTATATAGAAAATATGTAAAATTAAATATTTTCTTAATTTGTGTATCAAAATCTAAATGACAAGTTGAAACGAAAGAAGTAGAAAATAGCACTTTAAGACATTTGTAAAATAGTATTTGGAATAAAAATGCTTCAAACTTATTTTCTATTTCACTCTATATTAGAATATAAAAATATATTTATTTTATAAATAAAATGATTCACTTATTTTATAAATAAACTATTTTTTTTATTCGTTACTTTATTTTTCACTGTAAAATTAAATTTAAGAACATCTCTAATTCCAATCTGAAAAAGGGTCCAATCCTATTCCATTTTTTTTTACTTTATAACAATGTTTGTAGTAAAAGTTGTGAAATCTTCAACATGCTCACCTCTTTGGGGTTTAAGCTCTTTAATATAATAGTCACTGGAGAAATTTAGGATAGATTCGATTTTATCATAAGAAATGGAAATTTCATTTTTTATCTAGATTTTTTTTTAGCTTGGAAATGATAATTACTTGACCCAAAACCAAAAACATAAAATCCATAATCATGAACCCGAAAGGCAGAGTTCAACGTCCTATTCTAATTCGGCGGAATTGTTATTAAGTTAATTTATCTCCAACTGTTTGCACTTACGAATTCAGTTTTGAAGACGGAGAATAACTTATGCTTATCAGATGGCCTGAGTTGTTCTTTGGGAACAAGTTTCTTGTAGCTTCGCTAGCAAGTTGTCATCTTGTTTATATTTATACCATAAATTAAATATTGAAGTTTTAAGTTTTTTTTGTTGAAAATAAATCTACATTTCAGAAAATATTATTTTATATCCCATTCAAAATTTTTGTACACAGATTAAAGAAAAATTTAATTTTACATATTTTTAAGATAAAAACACAATTATCTATACATCTAACCATTTTTTAACCAATAAAAAATAGAGTATCATATAAAACTAATAAATTTTGCCTCAAAACTTCAAAACGACATTTATTTTGAAACAAAATTATTTCTCCAGAATGACAACTAATTCGAAACAAAGGGAGAAGAATTTATAAATATTTCAATGTAGATAAACATTTAAAATCTAAAAAAGTACAACTATAAATTCGGATCAGCGGCGCATTAATCAAGAAATCACAATTCAGGAAAAATAAGAAATAAATATGGTGAACTGGATTATTATAAATAAACCTTTATACATAAGAGATTAACGAAAATATCTTAATTTACCTTTGAAAATATCAAATTATTTAATGTATATATATTTAATGTTTATTATTATTTAAAATACTTTATTTTTTTCTAAATTCATACTAAATATTTATAAATAATAAAAATTAGAAAAATATTTAAAATCTAAAAATTACAAACTATATATTTGAATCAACATAATTAAGAAATAAATCTGATGAAATTGGAATACTTAAGGAAAAATCTGATAAATCAGATTACTATTATTTAGCAATAAATCTTTGTACCTTGAACTGCAATATCATATTTAACACATAAAAAGTTTTCAGGACGACTCATTGAAATCGAACGGCCATGGAAGAACTAGCAAAGGAAAAAAGTACCGCCCCTGCCGGTGCACGAAACCCTAACCACCTCTTTAGCGGTGTAGACTCAATCAGCTCTCTACCCGATGACATGCTCCACCATATCATGTCCTTTGTTCCGACCAATGTAGCTATACAACTAGCGTCTTGTCCAAACGTTGGAGGCATGTATGGTGCATGACACCTAATCTATCTTTTCCTCATCCCAAATCATCTCTTGGATCTATCAGCAAAACCCTAGACAGCTACACGGCCGAAAAAATTTTGAGATTCCATCTCTACGTTGACAGCAAAAGCCAAAGGAGTCACCACGTTGATAGCTTGATCAAGTTTGCATTATCTCACAACGTGGAGAAGCTTTCTTTGGTAGCCAAAGGCAGATTTCTTCTAACGCAACTCATCGTTGATTCACGTAACCGTATGAGTCCCAAATGCCCCGTTTCTTGGACATCACTTCAGAGCTTGTCTTTGAGGAACTTTTCACTCGATGAATCATTTACTAAGGTTTTGTCTGGTTCTCCAGTGTTGGAAAGCTTGACATTGCATTCTTGTTCACTTTCTTGTCTTGATCTGAGTGAATCGCCGCGCCTTAGACGACTGGATATAGAATTCACCTATTTTTTGAGTTCTGCAAGGAAACGTCATATCGTGGCTCCTCATATCCACTACTTGAGATTGATAGATTGTACGCAAAATAGTACTTTAGTTGATGCTTCCTCTTTAAAAGAAGCTAACATAGACACTATCTATTTCTTACCTTGATCCTGGTGTCACCAAAGTTACCTCTCGAAGGATCTTGATTACCAAGTGATGATGCAAACGACGCTAGAAAGTTGAAGAACGTAGAGAACCTTACTGTTGGGCTTAGCTTTCTCCAGGTATGTCGCCATTCTTGAATCCTTTAAATTCTTGAGACTCTCTACTTTACAAAATCACTGAAGCTGCAATGTCGTTACTTGAAATCAAAGAACCACTTAAACTCTCTATGTTAAGAGAATCACTTGAAATCTCTATGCTATTGATAAGCTTTATGGGCTTCTAACTCATAACCAATTGGCAATTAGTGGATTGATCCAAATCATTTATATATTACTCATGTTCCATTCATATTTCCAATGTGAAATCTTTTCTCCAATAGCTCTATCCTTTTTTATATCATGATCTATGTTTGTTTAGGCTTTTTTTTTTTTGAGAGGTATTCACTTATCTTATTGTCATTCTTATTGCTAGATGCTATCTGTTGCCGAGTTCCATGGTGTTCATTTCCCGACGTTTAAGGTCAAAACGTTGACTCTTAAATCAACAACTTTGCGATCTACTGTTCGTGGTATAGAAAAGCTGCTACAAAATTCACCTGAACTAAAGAAGATAAAATTTTACAAAACTGAATGCTGGAGCTACTCAGTGGTATCGTTTATCATCATTTGATTCCCTATATTTACATTGTCATATGTAAAAAGGAATTTTAGTTCGCATGATGATACGTTTTGTCTGTTGTGCAGGAGAAGTGTGTTAATCGCTGCTTGGAACCACTATATCTGACTTCTTCGTCAAAGCTTAAAATTGCAAGACCTGGTGTCGTGGCGTCTTTTATTGAACGTTTTCTGCAAAACACAAGAACTCTAGAGACACTGATTCTCCAGTTTGGGAGTTGCCTTAATGCATCAAATTATGATAAGCTGTCTCAAATCGCTCTTACCCTCTCTCACAAATATAAGGTCTCCATTGTGCTGAAATAATCAAATGGTGTTATAGTATGTATATCATGGGTTTCTAGTGTTGGGCCATTGAACAATATTATTAACTTGCTAGTTCTACTGATACGAGAGGAATTTTCTTCAGGTACACCTGATTTAGTTATAGTAGTAAGAATGCAGATTAACCATTGTTTTTTTCTTGTACGTCTTTACTCCTCTGTATGTTATATTTCTCTTCATCTATTGTTGCCGCTAAGGATGTTAAAATGGGTTCAACCTAACATGATAGACCTAGCCCTATATCAAAATATTTAATCCTCACAGAGTTACCCTTGTCTTATATTAAAATCTTTAACACTCTGATTTAAGGCCTTTTACACCAAAGGATTCATGACTGACACCCAACATCTCATTTTACTGCCTCTTACTACTTTCAACTTTGTTTTTTCAGACGTTGTCAGAGAATTTATAACATAAGCTAATAACTTAATTACATATATTGCATAAGTTAATAGATATGAACTTGGCCATTTTTGGGTATCTATCATTCTAGAATTTTTTTCCTTGATCTTTATTTTATAGGTTAGATCAAAACTTAACTTTGGTCTTAATTTTGCCTAGCGCGGAATATTTTATGATTAAAAGTTTCATAAATAACTTCAAAAATATTTTGGTAATTTGAAAGAATTGATGTAGTTAAAATATTTTTGCATTTAAAGCAGTATTTTAAAATTCAATCCGGATCACGGTAAAACGGGTTAAACCGGTGATCCGATAGTTTAATTTTTATTTTTAAGAATATCCATATTTAAAAAAATCACTTAAACCCGAGATTAACCAATTGAAACGACGGATAACTAATATGTAATATTTAAACCAATAAATAAGTTTATTTCCTTGTTTTATACATTATATGAATTTTTTTATTTATCTAAATAAATTGAAAGAAATTTGTGAGAAATTATTAAAAAGGGTGAGATCTAATATTTTGTTTTGTTAGGACATAAAATTAGTTATAGTGTTATTTGAAAACATGGATAGTAGTATAAATAAATGAATATATTGTTTGAAAACAGGAATAGTAGTATAAAGAGATAAATATATTGTTTGGAAGCATAGATAGCAATATAAAGAAAAGAATATAAGTGATTTAATGTAGGTTTAAGTTTAACTATAAAGTAGAAAGATGTATTTAATTTAAAAACTTACAAAATAAATGTTACATCCAATCTAATGTTTCTGATTTAATAAGATATACTAGGTTAATACCAGCGCATTTGCGCGGGATGAGAATTATATATAAAAATTATTTTATGTTTTATTTTTTATTTTGTGTTCTTTAATCTACTACAAAATAATAAATATATATATTGAATAATTGAAAAATCTGTAACTATTATATATAAAATTAATTTAGTGAGCGCTTATTTAAAATAATCATATTTATTTATGTACAATCACTTTATATAAATAAATCTAATTAATAAATGATATTAACACACACACGTATATATATATATATATATATATATATATATATATATATATTTATATATATATATATATTACAATGACACTTACATGGTTTTATGATCATTTGTATACTTTTATAATAAAAATTTTAAACTATTGATAACATCATTTTTAATGTGAGAGAGTTAATATTTACAGTAATTTATCATCGTTTAAAAAAATCAATACTTGTTCAATTCAATTTTGAAATTAAATATTTATGTATTTTTAAATGGTATATAGTTAATTTAAACATCACTAAATATATATATATATATATATATATATATCTAATTTAAATATCTATTTAATGATACTTTATATAATTTTTTGTATCCTGCTATAACAAAAAAATTAAACTATCAATCAAAAATATTATATGTAAAAATTTTAAATGTTTTATTAGTTTATATTCATTTTTAAAACATTTAAAATATAACATATATCAAAAAATCTATTTTTTGTTATATAGTTAATGTTATTGTTTAATTTATTTTCACAATATAAATTTAACAAAAAGAATAAAGGCTATACAATTTTTTTATCAAATATTTCATATTCAAATAATTAATTGTCATATTTAATAATAGTTTTATATTTAGTTTAATAAAAATATATTATATGTTTATATAGACCAACATTTTTCTCTAGTAAATTTGAGAAGTATTCTCATGATGACACGTGGCTACTAAATCATGTTGTAATGTTTCTCAATTAATATATACGAGATTTGTTTCATATTAATTGTCACTTTAGTATTATACACACTGGTTAAGAAAACAATTAGTTTTGTACATTTTCTATATAAAAACATAATTACTTATACACCTAACCATATTTCAACTAATAAAAAATAAGTTAAATAAATTTTGCATTGAAATTGAAAACTACATTTATTTTATAACAAACTTTTTTTCCTACAACAACACTTGATATGCGTTTATTATAGACGAGGGAAACCTAACAATTACTGTAGAAACCAGGCAGACATAAGAATCATATATTCTTACTGACTGTAACTTTAAGACCATGTTTGATTCGGAGAATGACAGAAGGAACTGGATCAATCTTCTGACCTTCAACGACCTTGAAATCATAGTTTTGTATGATCTCCACAGCTACCATCTTCATCTGCAAAAGAGCTAAATGTTTACCCATGCAAGTTCTTGGACCTGCATTAAAAACCAAGTACTTGGATGAAGGTTCACGTTTGAGTCCTCCATTCTCTAAAATCCACCTCTCTGGTTTAAAATCCAATGCGTCTTCTCCCCATACCGATCTCATCCTACCCAATGCGTACATACATATCACAATCTTCGAATCTGCTTCAACTTTGTGCCCGCTTGGAAGCACATCTGACTTTGCAGGAGACTTATGGTTGAAGGGAACTGGTGGGTAAAGTCTCATTGATTCAGACAATGCAGCATGTAGATACACGAGCTTCTCTAAATCTGTGGGATCAAAGTTTGTCTTGATCTCTTGTCTGATTTTGGACATAACTTTAGGATGGTTAGAAAGAAGCCAGAAGAACCAAGTGAGAGCTGAGCTTGAGGTGTCTCTTCCCGCTAACAATAAACTCAAAACAACGTCTCTTATAAACTCATCATTACTAGGTTTCAACAGCTTATATTTGGCTGTATCTGCATTCAAATAATATGTTACTGCGTTAATCGCTGGCTCTTTTTTCCCGCTACTCATCTCTTCTTTTCTTCTTGAGGATATTATCTTTGCAAACATACGATTGAAAACCTCCGAAGCAGTTCGTATCTTCCTCTCAATTCCAACACCAATAAAGTTTTGAAACCTCCACAAGATCACCGGTTTGAGATGTCTATAGAAGATAGCTTCTTCAGTGAACTCCGCAGCTTCACCAAACTCAGTGGATAGAGACATTTGATCATAACCAGTCATCAAAATCGAGGCAGTATCAAACATGAATCTCTGGAACACATCTTGCAAGTCTATGACAATGTTTTCCACAGAAGCTTTCTCAAGAAATGGAACAAGATCATCGTTTAACTTACTTGTAGTGCTACTTACTAAAAGCTTCAAGAAGTTTTGATGGTGAAATAAGGCGTGACCTGACTTCCTCAGATCCTCCCATAACTCCATATCAGCGGCTACGATTCCATCTCCCAAGATGTCAAAGATCTTCTTGAACTCAGGTCCTTTAGGGTAATTCGAAAAATTTGAGCTAAGCATGTGGTTGATGTTCCTTGGATCAACAGTGAACAACATGTCTGTTCCACTAAACCAAGGCCCTTTGAAAGCGAAAGTCAGATCGTTGGCCTCATGAACCTCAGAAATCCAGTCGAAAAAGCGGGGGATGTTGAAGAGCATCCCGGGAAGCATCCCAAGGAAAGGCCAGTTCTTGAGAAAAGGCCCGCCTAGAGATTTCTTGCAGAGAAAGAAACATTGGAATAGAGGGAATAAAATGAATGCTATGAAGACTCCAAATAAGTATATCATCGCCATTTTTAGACAAAAGGATTAATGAGTTTAGACACAGGAATTTTAGTTCAGTTGATTTGCTATATATAACATGTACAGCTGAGTATTTTGTGGTCGGCAAAATTGAATGCAAGAAAGTTATCGTTAGCAAACATGTCAAGGATGAGGTCCAAGGCATCGGACCACAAACTCTTTTATTGTTGTCTTGTATATATCAAGTAGGTTTTGAATAGTTCAAATTTCATAGCCAAAAATCATTGCAAGTTCTATGCAAATCTTAATTAATGGATTAACTTAGTCCATTATAATATATATAATTATTTTAATTCAAACAATAAAGGTCTTATTCCAAAGAATGATAGATCTCCAAAGATGGTAAAGTTCATATCTATTAACTTAAAAGCTTATTTTATAAATGAGATGTTGGCTCAGTGAATACTTAGGGATTAATGGTTTAGATACTCCAGACAATAAAACTAAAGGCAAACAAGATAATATTATAGCTAGAACTCTAAGAAGTGCCAGTTTAGAGGATGTGCTAATAGGGCATTTGCACAGAGCTCCTTCAATTTTTATAAAATTTCCTCTACCAATTAAGATTCTACATTTTTGAAAATTTGTTGAATAATCTATATATTTTAATAAGTATTATATATAAATCCTCACAAGATATTTATTTCAGTTCAAGGCCAAATATCAAAGTGAGCTGGCCCTGACTCTAAGCATTAAAGTTATATAAACCCCCCCCCCTCCCCCCCCCCCTCTCTTGGATTTATATAATTGAATATAGATCAGACTTTTGTAAGAAGATAACAAACAAAAAAGCAAGTAAGTATTATTTTCACTGACTATGCTTAGAACAAGAACTAGGAATCTAACCGTATTCAATTTAAATTCATGTCAATCAGTCATGTGATGCTCATGCGATTTTCCTAGATCAGAACTAAATGAATCAGCATAGTAACATGCCTTAAAACATAAATGGACAGAGAATTATGCCTTCTCTACATAATGCAGCCACTCTAGAAAAGATTAGAAGTCTTCACAACCATTAATATACTTTCAAACCCTACAAAATTACTCAATAAAGAACAAATAAATCACAACAAATAGAAAATCTAAGTTTCCTAAATCAAAAGGGCTGAAATATTTGTATGAGATACAAAAGATCAGATCATCTCCCAGTGAATCTAGAAGAACAAAAGAAAAATCAAATCGATGAAAATTTGGTTTGGTTTTCAGTTGGATCTTTTCAAACTCCACTCAAAGTAGTCACGTGGCTACTTTTGTTTCATATAACTAGAAGTGACCATGGCAAACTACATACAGTGCCGGCTCTAAGAATTACGGGACCTAAAACAATTTTTTTAACGATTTCACTTTAAATTTTTTTTTATGGAATTTGGAGATCTTAAAAAAAAAATTTGACCAATGTATATGTAATTTTTTTTCAAAAAAAAGTGGAGGCCAACATCCAGCTTGGCTCATCACCGACCCTGACTACATAAGATCTGGACAAAATATGATGAAACTTAGAAAGTTTCCATTTTTGGACATGTAGTTAGTATATCACTCGGGGGGTGATATACTTAATCAACACTCGTGGTCGGCCACTCACCCAAAACCCCAATGATCGGCATTTGTCAATTATGGGCCGTAAACTAGTTAGTATACGGACCTATCCTAATTAAGCCCATATCTTCATTTACCACTATTGTATAAAGGGGGAATAAAAAGCTGGTGCATGTACGTGGCTTGTTTAAGGCCTCTGTTGATAATCTCTCTCTCCATCACAAAGAAAAGAACAATGAGCCCGCCAAATCCACACACAGAGAGACTGACTCATGATCCTCTCTCTGTCTCCTCCTCCTATGGCCGCTAGCTTCTGCGGTTGGAACCTTCAGCCACCCTTTCTCTCTAACTTTAAACGCCCACCGGTCAGATCTCCCTTCATTATACGATCTTCTTCTTCAACTTCAACCTCTTCCAATGGCAATCTTCCCATCAAGAAATCTTTCCCTGGTTCACTCTCTCTCTCTCTCTCTCTCTCTCTATTTTCTTCTATTTAATTCACAAACTAAATGTGAAATTGTAACACAAAATAAATGTGAAATTTGTAGTAATAATCATTAAAGACAAGTCACTTATGTGTTCCCATTATTGTAATAATCTTTCAACAGCTGCAACTTCGTTTCTTACAATACTAGTAAAAAGCAAAACCTGAACTACTTGTCAAATTGAGCAGTTAGCATGTTTTTGACTTTCTATGACTAATCTGTTATGTATTTTTACATTTTTTTTTTTGTTTTAACTATTAACTATTTTTTTTACTGTATGGTTGTGTGCTTATAGGGGAGCCAGAAGCAGATGTGGTGGTAATTGGCAGTGGCATAGGAGGATTATGTTGTGGTGCATTGTTAGCTAGATACAACCAAGATGTGCTCGTCCTCGAGAGTCATGACCTTCCCGGTGGAGCTGCTCACTCCTTTGAGATCAAAGGTTACAAATTCGACTCAGGTCCCTCTCTGTTTTCTGGCTTACAATCACGAGGACCTCAAGCAAACCCACTTGCTCAAGTAAAAAACAATGTTTCTCTTTCCCTTAATTCTTTTGTTTTTGTTATGTCTTTGGAGTTTGTTCTTATTCATTGTTGGTTTTAGGTTCTAGATGCTTTAGGTGAATCACTTCCATGTGCCAAATATGATTCTTGGATGGTTTACTTACCAGAAGGAGATTTCTTGTCACGCATAGGCCCTACTGATTTCTTTAAGGTAAATAATGTTTATAAGCTTTGAAGTCACTTTCTATGATATTGTACCTCTGATCTTGCTTTTTTACTTCAGGATCTAGAGAAATATGCAGGACCTAACGCAGTCCAAGAGTGGGAGAAGCTTCTTGTGGGTGCTTATTTGTCAATATCATTTGACATTTAGTTTCATCTGCTAATAATCACATTGATATGAAACCTGCAGGGAGCAATACTCCCTCTGTCTTCTGCTGCTATGGCATTACCACCATTGTCTATCCGCGGAGATCTTGGTGTTCTCTCCACAGCTGCTGCTAGGTAGTACTAATAGTATATCTGAGTAAAGTTAGTTGTATTGTTATTTTTTTTTAATATGTTTGTTTGTTTCTTGTTAGATATGCTCCTTCCCTCTTGAAATCTTTCATCAAAATGGGTCCTCAAGGGGCCTTAGGAGCCACAAAGCTTCTCCGACCATTCGTGGAGATCGTTGATTCCTTGGAGTTGAAAGACCCTTTTATAAGAAACTGGATTGATCTTCTTGCTTTCCTCCTCGCTGGAGTCAAATCTGATGGCATTCTTTCTGCAGAAATGGTAAACAAGAAATGTCAATATTTTTATATGGTGGATGTCAAGATAAGGTTCTCATAAGGTAGTTGCAGATCTACATGTTTGCGGAGTGGTACAAACCAGGCTGCACACTGGAGTATCCTATTGATGGCAGTGGCGCAGTGGTTGAAGCACTTATTCGTGGCTTGGAGAAGTTTGGTGGACGTTTGTCTCTAAAAAGCCATGTTGAGAACATTGTCATTGAGAATGGTAAAGCGGTTGGAGTCAAGCTAAGGAACGGTCAAGTATGAAGTGTTCATGCATTTACATAAATATTTTCATTATTTGTTTCATCATTTTTACTCAATTTGATATGTAAATGATTACAGTTTATTCGAGCTAGAAAGGCTGTAGTAAGCAACGCATCAATGTGGGACACGTTAAAGCTCTTACCTCCAGGAGCTCTTCCAGATTCATACGTTACAGGTGTGAACACAACGCCTCAATGTGAATCATTCATGCATCTTCACTTGGGATTCGATGCAAAGGTATGAACAGGAAAGAAACGTTTCATCTTCTCAGTGTGTTTTGTAATTGTCTTGTTTTTTTTTCTTGATGAGACAGGAACAAGGAATAGCAGATGACCTTGAGATTCATCATATTGTTGTGAATGATTGGGAGCGTGGTGTGGATGCTGACCAGAATGTGGTTCTGATATCAGTCCCTAGTGTTCTTAGCCCGAACCTTGCACCACCAGGGAAACATGTTCTGCACGCTTACATGCCTGGAACTGAACCTTTTAGTCTCTGGGAAGGTCTTGACAGGAAAAGTGCTGAGTATAAAGATCTCAAATCACAACGGTCCGAGGTAAACACATCATATGCAGTTCTTTAAAACGAAGCCAGACAAATGTCATTTTAAAGTGGATGGTAAGGGTCGACCAGCTATTTCTCCACAAAAAAAAAATATTGTATAGCATTAGATGTCTCTAAAACTATAACCATATTCTTAGTACCTCGAATTTAACATTCGAAATCCTTATCCCCAAAAATTGAAAGTTCAGACTCTAAACCCCTTTTAAATCTGAAATTTTCGTACTCATAAACCATAATTACATTGGTTTAGAGATGGTTAAATTTTTTGTAACCAAACTGTAAATCTTATAAATCAGACGATAAACCAAATTAATACTTTTTGGAGGGTCAACAAGCTATTTTTTAATAGGTATTAATTTGGTTTTAAGTCTGATATATAAGATTTACGGTGTTTGGTTACAAGACATTAAACATTTTTTTTAAACCAATGTAATTAAGGTCTATGGGTGCTGACATTTCGAATTTAAATTTAAGGGAAGTTGGAGTTTTGAACTTTCAATTTGTAAGGATACAGATTACAAACTTTAAATTCAGAGATGTTAAAATGTGGTCACAGTTTATGAGACATCTGTTACTATACTATCCTTTTCGTGGAGAAATAACTCATCGACCCCAACGGTAACAAGATCAAATTTAGTGTAGCCAACTCAACTTTAATGTTAACCATAATGTGATGGTACCGTTGGTGATCAGGTGATGTGGAAAGCGGTGGAGAGGGCCTTAGGGCCTGGTTTTAAGAGGGAGAAATGTGAGGTGAGTTTGGTGGGAACACCATTGACTCATCAGAGGTTTCTGAGGAGGAATAGAGGAACATATGGACCTGCTATAGAGGCAGGGAAATGTACGTTTCCTGGCCATTCTACTCCCATTCCGCAGCTTATGTGTTGTGGTGACTCAACCTTTCCCGGGATTGGTGTCCCTGCCGTGGCTGCTAGTGGTGCCATTGTGGCGAATTCGCTTGTTACAGTTTCTAAGCATTCAGAACTTCTTGATGCTATAGGCTTGTAGATATATGTGTTATAACTATTGTGTATGTATGTTTCTTCTGTTCACTTCTTTTCTTGGTTTTTACCTCATACTTCAATACAGAAAATGTTACTTTAGCCATCAATATAAAAATTATTACAACAATATTTCAAAAATTAAAAATATCTTATTAATCCTTCTATATTTTTTGATTCTAAAAATGATTTAAATCTTTGTACACCAATAAAAACAAAATGAAGATTGACTAGTGAGAGTAGAATGTATTATGGACGACCAAATAACAAGATTCTCATAATATGAGGAGAAAAACACATAAACAATAGATGTAATCAAAATGGATGTAGCACATAAGGTCAAAATCAGAAACATATAACTCAGCTCCTCTTTGACCATCCAAGAATCAATACATTCAGTTAATACTTTTCTACAAGTCTTGTCACTAGTCATAGTGTGGCAAGTACCTTTAACACATATTCTCACTGTAATTGTGAGGTTGTAAACCCCAACTCTACTCCACAAACAATTGAATTGGGCGAGCTTAATCTTTTTAAGCACCAAAATACTAATTGCTGTAAGATAAAGTGTTGGAAATGGTAAACTGTTTCTAGGACTTCTCCCTCATTTTGGCTCTAGCAAACACAACTCCAGCCACAAGACCTGTACACCAAACAAGCCGCTCTCAGGTTAATGCACAGTAAGAGAATACGTGTCTAACATTCGAACAGAGAGAATGCTTACCAAAGAGTATGCTTGCTGAGTTCTGCAAACTGGTTGCTACATGGAAAAGAACGATCCCCGCAATAGACAGCGGTATCTTGTTTAGTGATCCCACCAAGCTGTGAAATTACATAAAAACACAAGATGAAGCAAGTACAGAGTTTGAAATTGTATTTTAGTAGCTAATTTACTTACCTGTATGTTGTAGCTCCGGTTTGATGAAGAAACCACATCGAAGTGAAGCTAATAGCAAGACCTAGAAGTCCACTGAGTGTCATGACAATCCAGAAACTTGGCAATTGAAGAAGTGGCCTGAACAAAACATAATAAGGCAAATCACTTTGGTTTCTAATTGACAGGAAAAGAAGATGTCAGGAAGTCAACTCACGTGTTATATAGATAATCCATCTCGTTGAAAGCAAAAGAAAGAATAAGGCCAAGCGGTAATGAAAGCGTGTTATTAAGCAAGACCATGGAGAACTCGTTCAAGTTTCCAGATTGAGTAACTTGCTTGGCCGTATCCATTGTCTTTCTCAGTGTCAGCTGCAAAAAGAAAAAAAAAACAGAATATAAACAAATAAGTCTAGTAGATATTGTGATAAGAGCATTCAAATGTTTACTCACAGAGTACGATGCAGTTAGGAAGCAATTAGCAATTTGCCAAGCATAGCCAACAGCATTGAAAGAAAGATCTGTTATCCCTCCAGATACTGCAGAAATTATCTGCATTAAGGTAGGGAAGAGTCTATCATTAAAAAAAAACTCTATCAAACAGATTATTATCATTTATAGCAATGATTAGACTCAGTTTGAACACTAAGAAAGTGGATAGACGTACCATTAAGAAGAGAGCAAGCCACACTCTGTTGTCATGATGCTTGTTGAATAGATACATCTCACCAACTGCTGTTATTACATTAGTGACATTCTTCAGGACAGTGACCATTGCTACGTTGATGTATTTCAAACTGTCAAAAGCAAAAAAATGTAAATGAAACAAACAATCAAATGAAAGGATTAAGAAACTGTAAAGAGAAAAGATCTTTTCCCATATTCCTTACCTAAACATGCTGGTGATAAGCATCCCAACAAATATCACGTTGACGGGGAACCAGACCTTTATCAATCTCAAGGTCAATGGTTCAGTTGTTATTAGACCCATTAAGCTCAAAGCCATAACAATGATCACTGAGACAAGATTCTGCAAAATCAAACAGAAATAAGAATATAAAAAACTTGACCATACGTTGTGCTAGTTATGTAACAAGAACGTACCTGGTATAACATTAAGAATATCCCAGCATTGAAGTTGTAGCTGGAAAGAACAAACTTGTTAACTAGTATCATGCTGCATGATGAAACGCAATAAGCCAAACCAGATAACAGAGCCTGATTAGGTATCTTTCTCAGAGTTGGTTTATCTCCAGCTTTTCGTGTCTTCCCATCTTCCAAGTCCACTCCATCGTTTTCGTAAGATTTCATTGCTAATGAAAAGACCTACCAGATAAATACAGAATCAGTGTGAGTCACTTCTTCAGGGAAAATTTCCTCCCAACCATTTCAACAGTGACAAATAGATCCATCATTCAAAGTAAAAGAGAAAGCAGCTAATAATGTGGACTACTTAAGTGGGAAATAAATTCTTTCTACTTCACTTCCCATAGGACGAGAAAGCAGCAAACATAATGTGGCAACTTTATCTAAAATACTTGAAAGATGTCAAAAAAAGAAAAAAAAAAAGAAGAAAAAAAACTATGAATCTGTTCCATTCCTAAGTTAGGAATCATGCAAAAAAAAAAGTAAACGAGTGTTGAGAATGAACCTGATCACTTCTCTCCTAAATTTACAGGATGGTTGTATTAAGAACTCCGTTCATATGAGATTTGGTGTGCCAATCTCCAGTGGGATGAAACTACTATTAGTAAAGATGTTACAGATCAAATAGGAGAACCAAGGCAAACTAAGTAGACATCCATTTAAAGCTTCTAAGTTCTTTAAAACTATCAAGCAAGTACAGAGTATCGAGCAGGTTAACAAACCAATTTAGAAATTTTCCAAAGTATGCTAATAGAAAGAACACACAAACAAACTTACTATATTTAGATATCTCACATACACAATAAATCAACAAAGTTTCCGAGGAATCAAGCAAGTCAACGTTTTAAGTCTTTTTAGGATAAGCTGCAAAGTCCAAATTAGCTCCAAACCTCATTAGATTGTTAAAAAGATAAAGCAAATAAAGAAAGTACCTTTGAAGACACGAACTTGAAGATTCAACTTCAAAACCCAGATCACGTTTCCTTCGAATCAATCAGAAAGTCTTCGTCTTTCAAGAGTCTCGATCTGGTCTTTTCCTGTCAAACCAAAGTTCGATGCTAACCTGCGCAAACTCTTCAAAAATCACAAGTTAGCAATCTAATAAGACTTATGATTTGAAAATTATGAACAAAAAACAAAAAAGAAGAGCAAATAAAACTCACGATTTCGTTTGTATTGTCTTCTTCTTTCTTCCTTGTTGCAGTTACATTTCGAAAAGGATGGAGACAGACAATATGGGATTTTATAAAATCAGATCAGTGACAATGTTTTATTACCAAACATATGTTGGTCCTACATTTTTGAAAGACTTTTTTTTCTGTTTATTATACTAGGACCGGTCCGCGCTACGCGCGGGATATGAATTATATGAAGGTAGGTGAAGTCAAAACTATAGAACTGTATTTTATTTTTTTATTGTCTTCAATGAACTTTTGCAAAAGAAATGTATTACAATACTTAAGGTTTTTAAGAAGGTTGGTGCGTTAAAGATATATGTTAGTTTAATTTTAAGATTTTCATAATCTTATTAAATTTAACCGGTCTTTTTTAAAAAGTTTGATATGAAGATAAGATTCTAATTCTTTAACTTAAAATAACTATTTTGAATTATATAAATAAATTTTGTGTACAATTCAAGTATAACTTTATTTTATTTTAAAATATTTTGAAAAGATCTTTTTTTTTTGCATCATTTTGAAAAGATCATTTATATAATCATGAAAAATGCTTTTAGTTTTTATAATAAGTCTTTCATATCTATTTGTATTTTATGTTTACTAAATTGTATATTAAGCTAGAGGTGTTTTAGAATTATTTTTATAATTTTTTTACAATTTTAATTCTTTAAATAATTATTCTGTAAATAATTATTTTTCACACTTCTTACAATCAAGTTCCTATTTATTTTGTAGAATTATAGTTCTAATAGAAATATATTAACGGTCGGAACTATAAGAATATTTGTTAATTTATTTTCAAGAGCAGTTAAAGAATTTTAAATTATTGTTCTGATATATTTTTAATTTATTAGTTTAATGAATGATTGGACATCATATATCCGACCGAGTTCAGTTTATGTATACTTGTTTAAATTTTATATTTATTTTATTGAAATCCAAATATATTTTAAGATCTTCAAATTCTAAAATAAAAGTTATACCACATGTATATTATATTAATGTACAACTAAACACATAAAATTATCATGAAAATTGGTTAGTTTGAGAATCTGATTGGAAACTATTAAATACATGGGGTGTATTGAATCAATGATTTTAGGAGATTTTGAGTTTTTATTAAAGTCACCTGTTATTCAACTAAGGATTTTAAAACACCTCCTAAAAAATTCAGTGTTGTTGAACATGAAATTTATGCATAATCACTTGAAATCATTTAAAATCTCTGTTATTCAAACAACAATTTGTTAAAATCATATCAAATCCACTGTTATTGAAAATGTTTTAAGTACTGAATTTTAATGACTGTAGAGGATTTTATGGGATTTCCTTAATTAAAAATACAAAGATTAAAATCTCATAGTTTTAGCTAGAATTTCAGAAGATATTAATACAAAAGCATAACAACTACTTTAAAATCATCCAAAACCATCAAAATCATATAAATTCTTATTATAACTCAAATCACTTATTATAACTCAAATCACTCAAAATGCTTAGTTCAATACACCCTCATTAGTGTTTATATCTTTCACATTTATCCTACTCGTGATTTTTTTTTAGTTGAGAAAATACTTCAAGTCAACCATGAAAACGAAAAGTAAATAAACAAAAACAAAATAAAAAAGGAAAATCGAATAAATCAGCAAATATAAAAGAAGCTACTGGTTTGAAACCCAATTTTGTATATCTTCTCTATTCCTTGAAACTCTCATCACCGTCTTTTGTTTCGCTTAAATGTCCCAACTCCATCTTGAAACCTTAGTTTCTTCGGTCTGCTCCGCTCACGACCCAATGATCCGAGTATCCGGTCTCCCGTTTATCTACTTCTTGTTGACGTCCCTGCATAAAACCAAAGGTTGTCACAACCAGAGTATAAACAGAAGAGAACAATTGGATAATGATTATGATCTCCCACTCACATCAATATAATCTTGATCAGTAAGCCACCAAATAGACTCATTCATAACATCATAAACCCTCCAACAAACGAAAGAAGAGATTACAGATGGGAGTTCAACGCCTTTGGGAAGAAAGGTAACTCTACACGGATGCAGCCGCTACCTCATCCTTGTGAAATGAGTAAAACACTTCGTTAGGCTGAGCTTCCAAAAGCATGCCTTTGCCACACCACCATATTTCGTAGTACTTGTGGAGCAGCTAGCTCCAGACTCGCCCAAACCAGCGGTTGGTCAAGTCAACATCTCTTTATTTGCAAGGTCTAAAAAAATATAAACTTGGATCATCATGAATAGACAACCTGGAAATATTAGTTTAGTTAGTATCAGAATATTTCGACAGGCAAATGTTACAAACAGAGAGCGTAGAGAGATGGTTTTGACCTCCAACAAACCTGGGACTAAGTCTGGTGGCAGCAACGACCGTAGGCTCCACACGCACCCTAATTAAGTTCTGGTGAAATTGGCTGGCCTGAAGACCAAAAGCACTGAGACAAACATGTCATTTGTGTAGTGTAAAATAAATACCAATCATTATCTTATCTAAAAGATCTGATTTGAGATCAAGGGATATCGTAAACATCAAATGAAAGTATGCATCACCAAGCTTTAAATTAAATAGGAGATAATCTGCAATAAAGCTCTTGGATGCAGACAATATGATTTCTCTGAGATTTAAAACTTATTACTAAACGGACTTTAGAGAAACAGAGAAGATAAAAGAAGCAAACGAAAACAAAGACATGCAAGCATGAAGCGACTCTTTGTATGACTATCAAATTTCTATTTACATGTGTTTGCTTAAAATCTCCTAAGATTTGAAGTAGGTACTAATCTACATTTTTCACCAGCATTATCATCTGTGTATATGTTTATCAAGAACATAACAGAGATCACAAATACAAGTAAAATGTATATGAGAATTGCTTATGTATCTCAATTTAGAAGACTATTCATGTACTCAACACATACATATGAGAATGTAAGAATAATTTCTCTACCAAGTTATGAGTAGAGGTTGTAGAGACTATCTAACATCTAAACATTATGGATAGTGCAAAAAACCAGTAAATTTATGAAGTTTGCAATTTTTTACCTCTTGAAAGGACGGAAGGCTATGGAGTGAAAATGAACAGGCCGTCGTGATCGTCAACTGTAGCGATCAAAGTGCCCATTCGATAAACACAGAGATGGATGACACCTCTGCGTAATTTGGCGAGATTCAATGGTCTTTAGGGGTGGGAGGTCAGACCCATAGCTCTGCAACTCTTTTTAACGAACTATTTCAGTGTTTTCCCAGTTTACAAAAGTTCTACACAAACAAAAAATACAAATAAAGACAAATTGGTCACTTCATTGGAAACCAAAAAAAGCGCAGAAGCAAAAATATAATCCAAAGTATTTTAATGGACATCGAAGTTTTTATAAAAAATAAGATCCATGAGAAGAAAAAAAGATTCAACTGACAACAGAAATTTTCTGGAGAAAGCAATTAGTAGCATGATTAGCAGAGAAGATTAAATGTGAGAGCAAGAGAAAACTAATGATAGGCAAGAAATCGATGTAACTTTCTATTTCTTTTACATCAACAAAATCGGAAATATTGTTAAACATAAGGAACACAACACAACACAACAATAGTCTAAAATTGAGCCATTCTATTATTAGTTTAACAATCAAAATGTTCTTAACTTTTTTTGGGTTCTCTTTGGCTCTTTCACCGCTTTAATGACCAAAGCTGGAGTTGATGACTCTGAACAATTAACCTAAGCAGCGGAGCTGGCCACGATACAGCCAATTCACAGGAAGCGTAAAGTTCCTGCCTCCTCTTTCAGAAAGGAGCAAACGAATCAAATCAATGAACAGTGGCAATCCTGTGGTGGCTTAAACAGCGCACAGTCACCAACACTAATCCTCCGCTCGTCCTGCAAAAAACAACCATCAAAAAATCAAAACTTTGAACAATCAAGCCAGAAACATGTACAAAAAAAAAACTTAACAACTCATCACGGTGATAACAAAAATCAAAACTTTAAAACGCAATTGAACGAATCTTCGAGCAATCAAGGCGGAAACTCATCTGGGTAATTATAAAAATTGAGACTTTTAAACCTAATTGAATAAATAATCTAGCAAACACAATTTTTGGTACCTTAGAGAACAAAGAAGGTGAAGAAAGAGACAGAGACGAAGAACAACCAGGAGCCTCCACGCTTGAAAATTAGACGCAATGAGCTCTAAACATAAATCCGCAAAGATCTAACCATGAGGGGAACGATTAATCCGTAAGAGAGAGATTGATCACGAATCGAGAAGTTTTTTCGATCCAACGAAGAGAGGAGAGAGAGACGTAAAATAGGAGAAGAATGATAAAAGAAGAAGATAAAAACGAAATTGGAGTGGCCACGTGGATTTTGTGACACGTGGATTTTGTGACATGGCATCTGATGTGGCACTCCTTAGAAGGAAGGATACTTTACTTTATATAATAGATTTTTGCTTGTGCTTTTTTTCTATTTAAATTTCTTTCTTTTTTTTTAATTTAATTTCTTTTTTTTATCTACATTTAAATTTCTTTATTTGTTAAAATGTTTACTTTCTTTGCTATTCATACTGGTATGTGTTGTGGCTGGTTTACTTAACCAATTCACTGCGAGTAAAATTTCAATCTCTAAATATCCTCTCAGGTTCCAATATATTGAACAGATCTTAATTGTTGACCAAAGCAAATAATAGATCTTAATTAAAACCCTCAAAATACATACGACTTCGGTTGGAACAGAACACATTTTCAATATTGCTGTCTACTTTTTATATTACGTATTTTTGTGGCCCAACTCTGACTAACCTATTGCCTCTATTGTTATGAGACTCATCTCATATACCAGCCACAATCCACTACTTGGATAATTATTTTAAAAGTTCACGATTATTGTGATTAGGGGTGGGCACGGATCGGATATCCGGGTTTTTGAAGGTATTTGTGATTTGCTTCGTATGTTACGGATATCTGATTTTGATATTTGCTTTGCTTCGGAAAAATACGGATATCCGGAAAAACGGATATCCGGAAAATAAACAGATATTTGCGGATATTTACGAATACTTACGAATAGCTCATCCGTCACAAATAATCTTATATAAATTTATCTTGTAATTTTTTTTTACATGATATATAAAATAAAAAATAAAGAAGTAATGAATTTACATATTTTATAATTTTATATGTTTAAGTTAACAACTATAATAACACAAAATTTAAGATTTTTTTTATAATTTTTTCTCTTCTTTTTATCTAATAATTTTATATAAGTAATAATGTGAATCTAATTAGTCAAATCATAAGCTATAATAATAATTTTATATATTTAAAATTTTTAATATAATCAAAATATACATATGTTTATATATTTCCGGATCGGATCGGATCGGATCGGATATCCGCTTCCCAAAATTTTAATATTTGTGATTTGCTTCGATTTTAACGGATATTGATTTTTAGTATTTGCTTTGATTCGAAAGTTTACGGATATCCGGAATTTTCGGATCGAATCGAGACGAATAACAAATCGAATCAAATTTAACGAATAAAATGCCCAGCCCTAATTGTGATCTCTTGCTATTGTCTTACTTTGACTATTAGTCATTCATCATACATACCCAAGATTAATACACATGTTTATTGTCTGCTTTTATATGTTTTCATGTGATTTGAAACGTTTATTCTCTTACTTTTCCAGATATACCTTAAGAATGAAATGGATGTATCACAATGCCAATTTAAGCCAAAACACTAACGAGGAAGTCACCCTTATAGGCAACTGCTCTTATGTTAAGTTTATTCTCTTAACTCTGACCACATTCTCAGAAGTTAGAAGCCTAGAACCAAATGTTCTCAGAAGATCGTTGATTTCTGAGAACATCCACGTTCTCAGAAGAGTGACATCCTCGTTAGCACAATACTAACCCGGGGAAATCAACGATATTCTGATATCATTTGGATCTGTAATAGATGTCACAGTAAGAGTTATGCTCTCTTTTATGTCTGCAGAAAGTGATGGTTACAAACCAATGAACGAAATAAGCAAACAATTAATGCAAAACGATCAGTTAACAACCATCTGAACTACATCTTCATACCATATAAAAATCAGTCTTTGGTTCAAAAAAGAAACAAAATGCAAAAACTCTTGAACAGATAAAAGGAAAAATGGAAAACTTAGTAACCACCCTTGAGATCGTTGACAACATCGTAAGGGATGGGAGTGACAGTCTCCAACGTCATACCCTCGACCATGAAACCAGGCTTGGGACCTTTAGGCTGTCTCTTGGTGCTGATTGTCTCTCCTCTAGCTTTAGCTGCAGCCTTGAGCTCATCGTTCTTCTTCTTCCTTAGTTTAAACTCCTCAGCACACCTTGACTGCTGCACGTGCTCCACACGCACGTGCAACCTCTTCCTTATGATTCTGTTACCAATCTAAACCACGACACAACAACAACCTATTTTAATATCCTAAATCGACAGCTAAAAACAAAAACTTAATAAGACAGCAACATAATCAAAATCAGTTCTAACCCTAATTTAACAGTCATTAATACAAACATAAACAGATTCATACCTGCTTGTTGACTTCCACACCAACGGCTCGTTTAGTAACGTTCCAGACGCGACCAGTACGACCGTGGTAGAACTTGTGAGGCATACCCTTGTGGATAGCTCCATTAACCTTGACATCCACGTAATCTCCGACTTTGAAGGTCCTGAGGTAGGTGGATAGTGGGATAACTCCCTTCTTCCTGAACCCTCTTGCGAACAGATCCCTAGTTCTCGCCCTCACTCCATGACCCGCCGGCATTTTCGCTGTTTCTTTCTCTGTTTGGTGGTAGCTGAAACCCTTGGAGAGGACGGCGAAGATAAAATGAAGGGAACTTATAAAGATATACTAGGGTTTTGTTTATATGGGCCTAGTGGGCTGTTGATTTAAGTCTAATGTGGTAGCCCAAGTTTCTTCATTCTTTTCGTCCACTGTTGTTTTCTTTCTTTTGCTTCCTTTTTATGCGTTAACATCAATGTATTTGAGTCCTTGACCGAGAAAACATGGGACCTCAAAGGATGAGATTTGCCACAAAAATAACAAGATATTAACTAAAAAGAAGACTTACATTCTTATAAATTATGATATTTGGACACAATTTTAGTATACAGTTAAGAGAACCAAATTTTGTTTTGTTTTCCTACTCAATGATAATCCTGAGTGTTCGGTGGCTCATTCGGTTTTGGTTAGAGTGATTTGAATTTTCGATTTTTGGTGTTGTGCTCATAAGTATCATTCGATTTTTACTAATTATCGGATCGGGTTCAGTTAGGTTCATTCCGGGTTAGGTTCGGATTGGATCTAACCAATGTTTAAAATCGTTCAAAAATATATTTTTTAAAATCTCGAAAATTGACAAAAAAAAATCCAAATATATAAATTATTTAAAAATCTAACTAAAAATTAGTTAAACTATCTAAATTAACTAAATAGTATTCAATTAAAATAAACTATAAAAATATTTTGAATACTCTAAAATATCTAAATCATCTTAACATATATAAAAACATTAATATATTTAACTAATTTCGGATATCTTCAGATCCTAATTTGGATTTCGGTTCGGGTTATAACCAAAGTTATAAGTATTAAGCTCATAAATCCAGTTCAGATATTTTTGTGAAATAGTTCAAATTTGGCTTCGGTTTTTCCAGTTCGAGTTAAGGTCAGTCTTTCCAGTTCAAGTTAAGGTCAGACTGAGGTAAAAACGCCCATGCCTACTCAATGATCTCGATGAAGAAAGAAAGTAGCATTTCATAAATGTAGTTCAGATTCTGATTATTAGAGTCTAGTTATATAATTATCTATTCGAGAGACAGATTACAAATTTAAATGAGCGAAACAAAAAGTTTTACACTAGGAGTTCAAAACAGTGTTATAAGAAGAAGAATAAAAAAAGTGTTTGGTTCTTAGTATCCATGGATCATCCCCCTCATGTGATCTAAATAAGCTTCTTCCTTTCAAAGTATTGCTTCAAATACAAAATCTGCGAACCAGAGACCAAAATGCAAATGCCTAGGGACATTATACTGTACCATGCAACTCGCGAGTTTGTTTTTTCACTCACAATCCTCATCTCAGCTTCTCTGCAATTTGTGAAAAAAGAGAGAAAAAGTGATTTTGATCTCTTTTCCAGATTTCTAAACATTGTTGACGTTTATTAAGTTTTTTTTTTACCTGGTTTTGAGGTAAAGTAGGTTTTCATGTATAGCTTCAACTGCACCTTCGAGTTTCCTAAGCTCCAGCTCCACACCCTAAAAGATTTAACGCATAATCTTGTTTCATAAAAGAGACTTAACTTTGCTGCACCAAATCTATTAGGAAACAGAAGAGCTGACCTCAATCTTCTCTTTTCTAGCAATGGAGTCCCAATCCTTGGCCGCGATACCAGTTTTCCAGTCAAGGTTGATGCTAACGTCTTTGTTACCATGACTGTTTCCTACGGCCTCGAAACAAGCCAAGTAGGTTCCTGATTCTTGGGTTGTAAACGCAAATTGACCATGCGTTGTGTTGTCACTGTGGTGCAAAACGTTCCCATATGGTGATGTAACCTACAATACAAGATAGAGTTTCTTTCCTGTCACTGTCCTGTTCAAAGAGTTGAGATACCTCATATGTTAATCTAAAGCATGTATGCATCAAAGTTGATGCACGTGTTTATGACACTTGTGATTACACTTTCTACTAGAATCCATCAATATATAGCAGGAAATTCAACAAGATTCATAATTACACATTCAACTTTGCAAGCAAATAGAGAACTCAAGGTCGCAACTAATCATCACTTCTAAATATATTAACTCTTGATCACGCACTTTGTGAATAGATAAAGCTCACAAACATAGAGGCATTACTAGAAAAGCTCCTCTTCTTTTCCCATTGAATCATATCTAAATGTGCAAGATCAAGAACCGACTACATTATATCCACGAAATACATCTATTTTCACAACCCTTGTGACCTATGATCATATTCACACAAAAAAAGAAAAATCTCTGATCACACATTAGGGGGGGGATAGTGGGGATAGAATCCATCTAGAGTTGATTGATTCTAAGAGTCAAGAATGTTAAAGTTTTTCATATTTAAAAAGTTAATCAAAATATTCTAATATAATGATTTGAAGAATCTAGAGGATATATGCAAGGTTTGTGAAGTTTTGTATTATGAGTTAAGCTTTTTAAAATTCAAGTCTCAATAACACTACTGATGTTAGATTCCATTAACCAATAACAATAAAATTTAAGAATTTTAACAATCACTACAAATACACACATCCCACTAACACCACCCTAAGATTCTCTTTCTTCCATGAATTAGATACATGAGATGATGGTTTATTAGTTTCAAGTAAATGCAAATCAAAGAAACGCATTTACGCCTAATAATTCAAATCATTTTTCAAAAACAAGGAAACTTTAATCGTAACAATCAATGCGCAATTTATAGAAAGTAACAGATCGCGTCCAGATCCGAATCTAAGAAACAAAAATTAACCTTAAGGGAGACAGTAGGGAAGATGGAATGTTCGTCGGAGATGACGAGGTAATCAGCCAAAACGACGACTTTGCTCTGGATTTCCTCAGAGACACACTTTGTTCCCGTCTTTGGAATGGTGAGCCACACGGCTTCACTGACTGGGATTAGCTCCGGCGTCAGAAGGAAAAAGAGAGCCGAGAGTAGGATCGTTGTCGTTAACTCACGCTGCATCGTCATTCTTCTTGGAGTTCTTTTTCCGACTGAGATGGGATGTATGATCCAGATCTCGTTTTCTGGTTATCCTTCCTACCAATTCATTTCATAAATCGACTCTGCTCTACTAAATATCGTAAAATATAATTTTCTTAATTTTTTACTTAACAATTTTAGAGAAATTTCGATAACACCAAAATGATTGAACTATTAGAGATAGTGGTTAAGTTGGTTAAATTAGATTGTACCTTGGTTAAGTTTCTTTTGGCTTAATTATTGGTTTAGTCATCCGGTTTAGCTTCCCTTCACTAAACCGTATGCAATGTATGTATAAATACATTTCTTGTATGTTCATTTTAATCTGAGAAATTATTTTTACAATCCATAACAACTTTCTTATTATGGTATCGGAGCACAAACTAAGCTTCCGCCATTGATTCACGATCTTCATCTTCTTCAAATCACCTCAAGGATGAGCCTCTCGATTCGTCAGCTTGCGATCGATCTTTGTCTATGATTCCTTCTCGATTTGATTGATCTGGTATCGCGAATCACACTTTCTCTCTTGATTCTGTTGCTCGCAGAATCTTTCTGAGCTTTCGATTGGAATCTACGGTTGTTTCTAGCTGATCTCACTTCGTCTTTTACTCGATATTGATCTTTGATTGTTGATATTGCCGTTGCGTTTAACATATCTTGATTCAATGAATTTATCGAGTCAGCCGCAACCTCCTGTTCTTGATCCAGCTCGTCGTACTACTGATCTCTACGAGAATCCTTACTATCTCCATGCGAATGATCATGCTGGATTGCAATTGGTTAACGATCGTTTGTCATCTGGATCTTAATTTCACTCTTGGCGTCGTTCTGTGCGGATGGCGTTGAATGTTCGTAACAAGCTTGGATTCATTGATGGTACAATCCCTAAACCCCCTTCTAGTCATCGTGATTCAGGTTCTTGGTCAAGATGCAATGATATGGTAGCGACTTGGCTTTTGAATTCTGTTTCTAAGAAGATTGGTCAAAGTTTGTTGTTCATGTCTACGGCTGAGTCCATTTGGAAGAACTTGTTGGCTCGTTTTAAGCAAGATGATGCTCCTCGTATCTATGAGATTGAGCAACGATTGAACAATATACCACAAGGATCGATGGATATCAATACTTACTATACTGAACTTGTGACTTTGTGGGAGGAGCTTAAGAACTATGTTGAGCTACCGGTGTGCACATGTGGACATTGTGAGTGTAATGCTGCATTGTTGTGGGAGAAGATGTAGCAGAGGAGTCGTGTAACGAAGTTTTTAATGGGTCTCAATGAGTCTTATGAGTCTACTCGTCATCACATCCTTATGTTGACACCAATTCCAGATATTGAAGCTGTTTTCAATATGGTTGCTCAAGATAAACGACAGAAGACTATCAAACCATCTACAAAGGTTGATAATGTGGCTTTCCAGAGTACTGATCCTATGGATACTTTTGAGAACAATGGTTATCTTGATCATTATGCGTATGCTGCAGCTCTCCAAGGGAACCGCTTTTCACAGAAACCAGTGTGTACTCATTGTGGACGTATTGGTCATACTGTGCAGAAGTGCTACAAGCTCCATGGTTATCCTCCTGGTCATAAGTTGTATCAGAAGACTTCAACTTCTAATAATCGAGGTTCTTCTCAACAACAGCAGTCTGCTCCAAAGTCTCAGTTCCCTCAACAAAATCATTTTCAGCAAAACTCTTCTGCTAATGTTGTCTCTGCTCCGAGTACTTTGGATATTACGCAGTTCTCTACTGATCAGGTTTAGAGTTTGTTAACATAGTTGATCGCTCAGACCCGGATTGCTGATAAGCAGCCTATGACTCAAGCTCCCACTGGTACTATTACTGAAAATGGTTTCATGGCTTCCACATCTACTGCTGGTAAGGTCTCAATTGTGTTTCCTTCTACTAGCCTTCGCTTTGAAAACCATATTTTGACCTTTCAACATCATTGTCTTTCCACCCTTTATTCCATTTTACCTTCTGGTTGTTGGATAGTCGATAATAGTGCTATTAGTCATGTATGTTCTGACTTGAGTTTGTTTAGTGAAGTTCGTCCTGTTTCAGGTGTGACAGTCTCTTTACCGAATGGCACTAGTGTACCTATCAGCCACATGGGGACAATGCATATATCAGATGAACTCATCTTGCATAATGTCTTGCATGTTGATAGTTTTAAGTTCAATCTGATGAGTGTTAGTTCCTTGTTGCAGAATCGAAATTTGTCAACTTATGTCTATTATGATTCTTGCTTTATACATGACCATATTCGGGACTTGACGATTGGTAAAGGATTGCTTACACATGGTCTTTACATATTGGAGCCTCATAAACATACTCACTCGCATTCTTTCTGTGGATCTTTGCTTGATGGAACTTTGTGGCATCAGCGTTTAGGCCATCCTTCTTTTGCAAAATTACATCATATTCCTGGTATTCCTTTGTCGTCTAAAGTCACTTCTACTCCTTGTAGTGTCTGTCCTTTAGCTAAGCAACGAAATTAACCTTTTGTTTCAAACCCAAAGTTGTCTGTAAAGCCATTTGATTTGATTCATATAGATACTTGGGGTCCTTTTTATGTTGAGTCTGTTGAAGGTTTTCGTTACTTTCTTACTATTGTAGATGATTGTACTCGTGTGACTTGGATTTATATGATGAGAAATAAAAGCGATGTTAAAACTATTTTCCCAGCTTTTTTGACTCATGTTCAAACCCAATTTCATACAGTTGTTAAAAAGGTAAGAAGTGACAATGCTCCTGAGTTAGCCTTTACAGAACTTTTTCAATCAGAAGGCATTATTCATCAGTTCTCTTGTGCATATACACCACAACAGAACTCGGTTGTTGAAAGAAAACATCAGCATTTACTAAATGTGGCTCGTGCTTTGTTGTTTCAATCTAATGTACCTCTTGCATACTGGTCTGAATGTGTTCTCCCTGCAGTTTTCTTGATCAATCGAACACCATCATTGTTGCTTCAGAAAACAATCTCCTTATGAAATTTTGTTCAAAAAGTCACCAGATTTTAGTTTTCTAAGATCTTTTGGCTGCTTATGTTACGTCTCTACTCATCTTAAGGATTTGCATAAGTTCAGTCCTCGTGCGAATCCTTGTGTTTTTCTTGGCTATGCTACAGGTTATAAAGGATATAAGGTTCTAGATTTAGAATCTAATATTGTTAGTGTTTCTAGGAATGTTATTTTTCATGAAACAACTTTTCCTTTTGCTAATATGCCACAGAGTGAAAAACCAGTTGATTTGTTTGGTACTGCAATTTTACCAATGCATATATCTGTTGCATTAGACTCAGATTCTTCATCTGCATCTTTGGTTCCTGATACACTGTCCTCGGATCCATCTACATCCACTGGTGCTACCTTGCCACAAGAGATTGTTGCTCCTGACGCACCTCAGACTTCTCTGTTCAACACTCGGCCAAAGCGTTCTACTAAAGCATCAGGTTGGCTTTCTGAATACCATTGTAATCTTCTTTTTAACCCTTCTCCACTTACTCCACATATTTCTGAAACATTTGACACTACAATTCCTTTTCCTTTATCCTCTGTTCTCACATATTCCAAACTCCATCCCCCATACGAAAATTTTATTCTTTCTAGCACAATTGAGACTGAACCTCATACTTTTAAAGAGGCTGTGAACATAAGGTTTGGAATAATGCTATGGGAGTGGAGGTCACTGCTTTGGAGCATAAGGGAACGTGGATAATTGTGACATTGCCGCCTGGAAAGCATGTTATTGGGTGTAAGTGGGTGTTCACGATCAAGTATAACCCTGATGGTACCATTCTGAAGTATAAAGCTCGTCTCGTGGCCAAGGGATATACTCAACAAGAAGGGATAAATTACATTGATACTTTTTCACCAGTTGCTAAACTTGCAAGTGTTAAGTTGATTTTGAGTTTGGCAGCTTGCTTTGGTTGGACTCTCACTCAGATGGATGTTACCAATGCTTTCTTGCACGGTGATTTGGATGAAGAGATGTACATGAGCCTACCCCTTGGATACACACCCTCTGATGGAACTCCATTGCCTCCTAATCCTGTCTGTAAGCTTCAAAAATCTTTATATGGTCTTAAGCAGGCATCAAGGCAATGGTATCATTGTTTCTCCTCGGTGGTATTGAAAGCTGGTTTTACTCAGTCGCCAGTTGATAACACGCTGTTCATATGCAAGACATCTACTTCATTCATGGCATTGTTGGTTTACGTTGATGATATCTTGATTGCGTCCAACAATGATGAAGCTTTGACTGCCTTGAAGACTGTTTTGCATCAGGCTTTTGAGATTAAAGACATGGGAGTTCCTCAGTTCTTTCTGGGTTTGGAGATTGCTCGGAATGCTACATGCATCTCTATCTGTCAACGCAAGTATGCTCTAGACATTCTCTCCTCTACTGGAATGTTAGCTTGCAAGCCTGTTTCTGTTCCGATGGATCCCTCAGTTCATCTTCGCAAGGACACTGGTACCGTGAGCTGATTGGTCGTCTCCTATACCTTACCATCACAAGACCTGATATCACCTTCGCCATGAACTACTTGAGTCAGTTTCTTTCTTGTCCAACGGATGTGCATCTACAGGCAGCACACCGGATCTTGCGTTACCTCAAATCCAATCCAGGACAAGGGCTCTTCTACTCAGTGGACTCAGAGATATGTTTGAATGCTTTTGCAGATGCAGATTGGGCAACTTGTCCAAACTCAAGACGCTCCATCTTTGGTTTTTGCGTTTATCTTGGCAAGTCTTTGATTAACTGGAAGTCTAAGAAGCAACAAACTGTGAGTCGTAGTAGCACTGAGGCAGAGTATCGGAGCATGGCCCTTGCTACTTGTGAACTTCTTTGGTTACATCAGTTGTCGAAGGATTTGAAGGTCACTGTTTCTACCTTTGCAAAGTTGTTTTGTGACAACAAGTCTGCTATTCATATAGCTCACAATCCCGTGTTCCATGAAAGAATGAAACATGTTGAGATTGATTGTCACACTATCCGGGATCAGATCAAGAATGGCTTCATGCGTCTCTTTCATGTCTCCTCCAGCAATCAACATGCTGATCTCTTGA